ACAAAAGATGAACTTCATAAATGGGGTCAGAGGGTGAAAGGATCCTCTTTAGCTTTTGAACACGAGCACTAACAGACTCCCTGCTCTTTCCCATAGAGATAACAAACATGGAGGTCAGGAGCCCCAACAATAATCTCAGCAATGCCCACCACTGTTCACAGACCTACAGAGAGGCAACGATAAGAGACTGTCACCCTCCAGCACTCCCACCTGCTACCCCAAAGAACAGGAAAGGCACCTGCCTGCTGCAGAACTGCCTAGGTGAGTTTGGGGCTCCCTTCCCCACTTCAACCACACCAGCTCAGTCCCAGTCACAGGAAGAGCACAGCATGCAAAGGACACTTTCCATGCTGTTTTGTTATGTCTACAGTGACATAACAAAATGGCATTTTTTTTGCTGGGACACCATATTTTACTGTATTCTCACAAGACCAAATTGCCTGTCAGTGCCAAGGCCACAAAGGGACTTTTCCCCAGGAGCTCAGGGCACCTCCCACCTAGGGCTACAGGAGCCCCAGCTATTCTTATTTCCCTTACAGCAATTTCCCTGTCCGGGAAGCAGTGCACAGCAGAGAGGACCTCCTCCCAGGCGTGGCAAACCAGCATCAGAACCACAGAAACACAAACACGAGATGGCTTTTTACCATTGTCTTGCGTGAGAAGCCTCCGCGCTTCCAGGTCAAACTCCTCCTTACTGATCTTCTGTTTGAACCAGAGCTTCAAATTGGCCCAGTACCTAGGGGAGAGAGGGAAAGGCAGAGACATCAAACAAAAAGCGCTGCTCCTAAACGGCCTCCTTCCCAACACCAGCACAGAGGGGTCCGGAGCCCAGGCCAACGCTGAGGCTTCCGCACAGGCACGGTACAAACGCGCGCCCAGGCCCCACTGCCGCTCGGCCTCACCCTCCAGCCGGCTTCCCTCCTCCACTGCACTCACTGCTTCACGTTCTCGCCCAGCGCCTCGCTGAGGCTCTTCTTGGCCGCCTCCAGCTCGCTCACGTACGTCGCCATTACCACCACTACCTGACAAAGACAACAGAATCTCCCTCCTCTCCCAAGCCACAAAGTGCGACGGCAGCCGTAAAGCACAGCGACCACCCGTCACGTGACAGCCCAGGGCTCTCACCGCCAGAGGGGGCGGTGTCTGCGCGCATGTGCAGAGGCGGCAGTGTAGGCAGTTGCAGTCGCAGTGGCGGGTGTAGCCATGCCGGGTTTGCTGCTGGGCGATGAGGCGCCCAACTTCGAGGCGGACACCACGCAGGGGCGAATCCGCTTCCATGATTTCCTGGGAGACTCGTGAGCATCGCGGGAAGGAGGGTCGGGAACGGGGGACCTCGGCGGGAGGGCGTCAGGGTAGGAGGATGACCCCGAGGCCGGCCCGCGGGAAGGGGGCCGCTCACCGCGCAGCAGACCGGCCCAGGGTCCTGCGCCCCGATTGCCTTCCGCTTCGGGCGCCGAGAGCTTGAGTTTTATTTCCAGATGGGCACGGCCGTTCATTGCCCGTCCCCTGGTGGGAGCTTGGCGGGCTTATCCCAGAAATGTTCGCTTTCCCCTTGCGGAGCCGCCGCGGTGTGTGTGACACGGGCCGGGGGCCGCGATGTGCCAGGGGAGCGCAGGCCCCGCCGAGCGCGGGGAGCCGCCTCTCCCCATCCTTCCTGCGGGCTGCGCAGCCAGAGGGCCGGCAGAGCTCACCACGGGCGAGCCGAGCCCAAGGAGAGCAAAGACGGGCTCTGAAAACTGCAGAGCCCGGACAAGTGCAAAGCCAGGCTTGCCAGGGCACAGCTCAGTCCAGGGCAGCCCCAGAGATCAGCTCGCGTGTCACGTATGTCCCGTGCGAGCCTGGAGAGTGAGCCTGGGCTTGCGGAGGTGTATAATCGAGCGGTAGCAAAGTCCTGTTGGAGCCACTTGTTGGAAGTAGAAAGCCACTTGTTTTTAGGCACTATTTCCCCAAAAAAAATGTTGCTCCATTTCTGGCTGGAGCAGGAGAGTGCTGGCACAGTACATTTAGGACTTGCTTCCTGCAGTGCTTGGCAGGGTTGAATCGGTGTTTGAGTCCGCTTCTGTCAGTGTTGTGAGCTTGGGCAAATGGGGAGAAAAGAACCCTCTTAGTGAGAAAATAAGATGCAGGGCTTCTTGAAACAGTATGTTCCAGCCTGAGCACCCACATGATAGCTTTCTTGGGCGGCTTCTATCTGGGTTTTTGTTGCCTTTTTTTCAAGTAGTACACATATTGTATAAAGAGACTTGTAGCACTACTGGCCAGGTCACTGCCCTGTAAGTTCTGTTGGTGAGCCATCTGCAGGGTGCCTCAGTGTATCCCTCCAGCTCTGTTCCCATTTCTCTAAGACAGGACAGAGGTGAGCTGTTCCCGCAGTATTCTCTGTGCAATACAGTCTATACAGCTTTTTGTCTGTGAATGAGAATTACTTAATGAGAATTACTTAATGAGAAACTTCAGATGAAATACCAGGACACAGATCTGAGCTGAGGTATGCTGTCAGACTGAGAAGGAAGCTTCTGAAACATCTGTCTAGAATATGTCAGTGCTTGTCAAATTATAGTAAACTGTAATTTCATAAATATTAAAATTAAAAATTTTACTGAAATTTTGCCAAAAAAACCCCGAAACAATATGTTGCCCTAATGCCATCTCCTGCTCTCTTCTTTCAGATGGGGCATCCTCTTCTCCCACCCACGGGACTTCACACCCGTCTGCACTACAGAGCTTGGCCGGGCGGCAAAGCTGGCCTCCGAGTTCAGCAAGCGCAATGTGAAGATGATCGCCCTCTCCATTGACAGCGTCCAAGATCACATGTGCTGGAGCAAGGTATGGGGCATGAAGAGGCACAAGGGGAGCTTGCACTGCTGCCTTTGCTCTGAAGGCCAGAGGAAGAGTCCATGCAGAACAAAGCACACACTCAGGATTACATATCTCAAATCCCAAAGCATGTAGGATAGGAGTGGCTAAAATTCAGAGTAAGAATAGAAAGGTCTGCTCCCATCTTCTTGGAGCACTCCGCAAAGTCCAGAGCACTCTAATTACTAACACTTTGAAATAGGAGGAAAATAGTATTACTGCTCTCCCACCAACGCCTGAAAGAATAACATAAGTGAAGATGGTGCCAGAACTTGCAGGAAAGCAGTCTCTCCATAGACCTTCAAAAGGTTCTGTAATAAAACAGGAAAGGAAAGGAGGTATCAGACATGAACAGGCAGTCTTCAAAGGGTACAATTCATGCCCAGACACGGGAAAAAAAAGAGAACAAAGAGGGACATGTTAAACTTAAAACCACAAGTAAGAGAATGTTAAATATAAAACCACCATAAAAGGAGTATATAAAAAGATGGGAACGAAATAGCTTGCTGAAAGAACATAAACTAATTAAAAACTTCAGTTGCAGCGTCAGCAGTGGGGCGCTGCCAGGGAGTAAGATTCCAGGCCTCATAGGTGGCAGGGGTGTAAAATGAGCATTTCAGACGGATATGGCCAGAGAATAGAAATCTCTGGGTGAATTACCTGCTTTTTAATTTGCTCTTAACATTGAGAATATTTTCGCATTTTCCAGGAGTAAGACATGCATGCAATAAGAGGTAGTAAAAGTGAGAAATATCCACAGTTCAACATTGTTTCATTACTGACTGGCTTTAGAAATTACTTAATTGCCTTTTTGCTTAAATTGACCTTCTTCCATTAGGGGTGCATGGCTGATGTCCTTCCAGGCTCCAGAATGTCCTGGGAAAACTGGTGTATAAATCCCACTCCAGTAAATGAGATTTCCATGCTGGTCAAACTGGCTGAAACCACCAGTCAAAATAGCAGATAACATCCCATTAAATATAGCAGAAAGTTTGTGCTTTTGTAAGGAAGTCTCATCTCATGGTTGGCTAAAGCCATGTGAAGTTACTGCTGACTTTTACAAAGTCTTAAAATTTCCAAGAAGCTTTTGACCAAAGCAGCTTTGTGAAGGGCAGGCTCTTTTTCTGCAGGGAGACAGGATGAGGTGGTAAGTTGTGGCAAAGGAGGGTCTGCAGGGATGCTTGGGGTTCAGCACGGGTGATCTGGAAAAGATATGAAATATGAACAACGAGCTGACTTTGCTGACATTATGGAATTATTTAGCACAACCTCAAGGTAAAATCAGAAGTTGCAGAACAGTCACTTGACGCTAACTAATGGGAGGCAGAGTTTAGAAATGTTTAGAAAATCTTCCAGAACAAGCATGGAGAAAGGCAAAGGGCAGTAGTCCAAGCTGCAGGGAGCTTTCTGTCAGGCTGTGAGAGGCCTCGCAGGCAGTGGTTTGGAAATGTCAGCTGAGCACCTGTCAAAGAGAAAAGTGTGGAGGTCCACCAGAGCAAAGATCCAGCTGGTGAGGACAAATCCGTAGCAGACTGGAGCCTTCCATATAGTCTGTGTTTGAAATAATCCATCTTGCAGGCTACAGGAGAACAAGAAAAGGTGGAGAGGGGGAACAAAGCTGCCTGCAGGTTTGGGCAGGTCTACTTCAGTGCAGAGCAACTGGGGCTCTTTAGCCTGGGAACAGGAGGACATGTTAGGCTACAACACTGTGAGCAGTATGGGGAGCATGGAGGAGCCATGAACCTCCATGCATACATCATGGAGGGTATAAGAGAGGACAGGAATGTGATTGCTCTGCTCTTAGACCTTGCCTATATACATGATCCTTTTTCTTTTGTCCTTGACAAAACTTAAAAGAACTTCAGATAATGTGGAGAGCTAAACAGGGAAAGCAACTGTTTGGGCCTACCACAAGGCTGAGACTGGGGGCAGTGCTCTAAGGGTTCTCCTGCCCAGCCACAGGTTAAAAAAGAGCTTAACAGACATACAAAGCCTTGGCAGAAGCTGACTGTTTGGACAGAAGCAGACTTCATTAAATGCTAAACTGAAATCTAGAAACTGCAGTTTTCTTCACTAGATCTTAGAAATCCTAGGGGTAAGCAAAACTTCAGGCAGGCCTCTCTGTGCAGCATTCCTTTACATACCTATGCTTTCTTTTTGAATGAAGCTTCTAGCAGTAGTGAGATGATGAAGCTGCTTTTATCTGGAGCACAGCCTGTGAGGAAGAAAGTGGGCAGGAGAAATGGCTGAAATTCTGCATGAAACAACAAAGAAACTTCTGCTTGCTTTGCTGCCAAATTTCAGTGGGCAGATGGGGCCTGAAAGGTGAGACCAGAGTATACCAAATAATTCTCATGTCACTGCTCAGCTCTGCTTTCTCAGTCAAAGATGTCACTGCTGTTCTTAGGCATCTCTAGCCAAGACCCAGCGGCTTGCTCCAGGACTCAGAGCAAGCCTGTAGCTCAGCCAGGGTTTGATCCCACTCTCCTACCTCCCCGGTCTGTGCAGTGCTTCTCCAAGGGCTGGCTGAATGCATGAGCTCCGTAAGCAGCATTGACTGGCATGTGCTGTGCATGTTGGAGAAAGCTTTGGTGTTCTCTTTGGCTAGTGATGCCCTCACCTTGGTGAGTCAAGAGTGAATAAATCACTGCAGTGATGTCTGGTTTCAGCTTGGATGCTGGAAAGAAAATAATTTGCAGGGGAGTAAGCAAGTCTTGAGTGTCTTATTGCAAAATAGGGTGGGGTTTGTTAGGCTGTTTTGTACAAAGGTCCCCAGGTCATGAAATTATGTGCATTTTGGAACGACTTACAGTACATAGGATTCAGATATTGCTTCTCAGAAACTCTCTTCATCCTCCAGCCCCCATTCTGAAGAGAGAAGGGGGCATGTCACTGTCTGACCTTTATCTACAGCCTCCTGTGACACTGTAGGGCATTTCACATGGGCTGGCCTCTCCAGCTTTGCTTTCCTTCCGTACTCTGCTTTTGATAAGGCTTGCCGGGGACAGCATTACAGCCCCTTCTGCCTGCTCTTGCTGCCTCTGCAATGCCAAACAGCAGTGGGCAGTGCCAAGAGGCACCATTTCCAACCCTGCCATCCTTGCGTTCCCTCTAAGCAGGACTCAGTCTTTTCCCGTGTGTTCAAAGCCTGGGGAAAGTAGGGAGATTTGTACATTCAGATTACCAGCTCAGCTGATAATGCACCACACTGATGTGTGGGAAGCTTGTGTCAATGCTGGAGGCAGTTTTGTCTCTTTGTAGCATAAAGAGAACAGAGGAAATGGGCAGCTTTGTTCTGGGGCAGAAACTGCAGATTAAACTTGCTTTCATGTTGGCAGCTGATCTGCTTGTGCTGCCTTGAGCAGGCTCCTCACAGCCTTGCTGTGGCTCAGGATGACCTGTATGGGTGATACTGCAAACTGCAAGAGTAACTCGACTGCTTTGGCCAAGTTCAGACCAGATTCAGAGACACTCAAAATACAGTTTCGCTGTGAAGTGGGTCAAGTTTGGACTAGCACAAGGAACAGCTTCATAAACTATGGTTACAAGGGAGAGTCTGCAAAGATGTGGAAGGGGATTGTTTTCTGTCCTAGCCATGGTTCACCTGCACTCAGACTTTCGCTCTATTTTCAGAAGTGTTTAAGTGACCTAGGAGTGACTTGCTCTGTGAGACTAGTTCCTCATACAAGACCTGTGAAGTGTTCGACACTGTACCTTTGTTAGCTTTAGAGTTGCTGGTTTGGTCTGTCACTAGAGAAACTACCTTAAGAGCACAGTCCAGTTCAGGTGTGACACCAACACATCTGTCAGTAGTGCTAGATTACTTACTCAGAGAGGGTCAGAAGAGGAACACCTCTGTTCTCAGAGAAAGGTGGTTACATCTCCCTGTGTCAGTAGCATGGGCAGGACTTCCCTATTTCTCCATACCCGCTTCCTGGGCAAAATAGCTGGTCCACAGGCAGTTCCAGAGGTGAGCCACAGGGTGTGAGCATAGACAGCCTAACAACTAACCTCTAAGAATGAGGCAAAGTGCAGCCTGGCATGCAGGTTTCTGGTTTGTCACCTGGTTTCTGGAAGCAGAGAAACTTCATGGAAGGCTGTGCTGTCTCAGCCTGCAAGTAAGGGGCCAAGTAAGTCACAAGCTCCTGTAGAGCAGCTGCTGAATACATTTCTGCATGGCCCCTTGCAGGAGGTTGCCCCACACATGTTAAGCCTGTGTGGAGATCTCCCTGTCTAGCCTCTGCCTCCTGTGATGGTACCCACAACAGTGAGCACAAGCATGCCATGTTTTGTCTCTGCAGGACATCAATGCATATAACGGGGGACAACCGGAGGAGAAACTCCCCTTTCCCATCATTGCTGATGCGAACCGGGAGCTCGCTGTCAAGCTGGGAATGCTGGACCCAGATGAGCGGGACAAGGATGGCATGCCGCTGACTGCTCGTGTGGTGAGTACCTGGAGCACTGCTGTGCAGCAGCCTTCTCAACAGGAGGCTTCACCTGTTGTCCTGCCCTGTGTCTGTGGGTTTGAAGATGGGCACAGCTTACCTGGATGGGTATGACCATCCTCAAGAGCTAGGTTGACTTCCTTGGGCTAGATCCATGGGTTGTGATACAAGAAGAGGCTTGTGTAGCACTGGCCTGCTGGCAGCAGCTCCATCCACCAGCTCATCCTGGCTGTGCCTGTCCTAACACAGAGGTGACAAAAGAGCTTGATCTGCTGGACTCCAGTGCTTGCATTAGAAAGGTACAGGTCAAGGGGAAGAAACATTTCAAGTAGCAAACCAATCTGGTATTAGATACAGGAGCACTCAGAACATGCACTGTGCTCCCTGGGCATCACTTGTTGCTCTAGATCCCCACCATGGCATCTCCCCTGTTCCAATACCTTCGATCAAGTATACCACCTTTCAGGAAAGTGAGGAGCAGCAGGGCTGAGCAGACACAGCAGACCAGTTGGATTTTACCCAGGCCCTGATCCTGTCTCTGTACTCAGGTGTTTGTTTTTGGCCCGGATAAGAAGCTGAAACTCTCCATACTGTACCCAGCCACCACTGGGAGAAACTTTGATGAGATCCTGAGAGTGGTGGACTCCCTGCAGCTGACGGCATACAAGAAAGTCGCTACCCCTGTGGACTGGAAGGTGAGGAGGGGTGCAAAGCTCACAGCTGTCCACTGAAAACATGGATTGAAATGTCAACCAGCCTCCTTTGAAGGGGGACTCACAGGGTGGGAAAGCTGATGAGGTCGTGCGATATGGGTTGCTGCAGTCTGGAATCAGCCTTAAGAACCTCCCTTCCCAGCCCTCAGTGCCCAGTGCCAGCAAATACTCAGCTTGGCCTTTCTGGCTATCAGTACTTGAGCTTTGTGCCAAGGCAGGTCCTGTTGTGTGATCAGGAGGGGCACTACCAGGTATCAGTGTGCTCAGGTCTGCTCAAAGCCAGCACAGCAGCAGGCGTGGGGCACCCTTCCCAGGCCCACACACTGTTCTCCTTCCTTTGAGCCAGGAAGGGCCAGTGTGGGCACAGAAATTTACGTAGCATGTACACAGTAGAGACATCCTCATAGAAGGTTACTAGTTGCTTAGTTGTGGTCCCTCCTCCATCTTAAGAGATACCCAGATTCCCCTATTGTTACTCCCTGTTCCCGTGGAAGTGCTATGGGAAAGAGCTGGCCTGTAGGATCCCATTGGCAGGGCTGGCAGAAGGCACAGTTCTCCCTTTTGACATCACCCATACCTCCTGATGTAGCTCCCACTCAGTCCTCACTGCCAGCTTCAGGCAGAGCTGCAGGGGATATGCCTGGGGCACTGGGGTTGAGCGTTCCTGGAGAGGCAGGGACATGCCAGCTCCTCTGCTGCTCTCACAGTTCCCATTTGCTCCCCAGCCTGGTGACAGTGTCATGGTCGTGCCCACCTTACCTGATGAGGAAGCCAAGAAGCTCTTTCCCAAAGGAGTCTTCACGAAGGACCTCCCATCGGGCAAGAAGTACCTGCGTTACACCCCACAGCCGGAGTGAGCAGGTGTGACCAACCATCCTGCACATCTTTTGGCATCAGGAGCCTTTGTTGTGTCCAGCTCCTGCCTCCCTAACACTGTGCAACCAGCAGCCTCGTACTGTTACACTGATGATGCATTGCAATACTAAACCAGTCCTCCCCATCCCTTTCACCCTCCACATCTTCTCAAAACTAAAACCCCGAGTGTTTTCTTGCCTTGAATCTACCCCACAAGGAAGAGGTTAGCAGACCAGTGGGGGTTCCATGGCTTGTGCTGTGGAGTCTCCTTGTTTCAGGACCAGCTAAGATTTTCCTGGAGGCACAGTAAGAAACGTAGTGTCAGCAGCCAGGCCCCAGAGGGGTGTCCTGCTCAGTTCGCACACCTCCCATTAGGGAGTTTTTGGGGGTTCCAAACTGCTGTGTGCCTTTTGAAGCAGCTGTCACAAACACATTAACACCTTCATCTGGTCCTGTGCGTAGGGGAGGAGCTGCAGAGCCAAATCTCTCACTGCTTTCTCGTATATTGCTGGAAGTTGTTTTCAGGTTTTAGGGAAGAGGGAGTAGGGCAAATAAACTGATCTTCAGTACTACTTGCAGTATCCCCTGTCTGCCTCTGCTGGCATCCATGGCACCCCTGCACCACCTACTTTGTTCCCTTGTGGCTGTGCCACTGGAATGTGTGCCCATGTTCCTGGGTGGGTGACAGTGGCACAGACTGACCTTGCTCTTGCTCTGTAAATAAGGCACTTGGGAAACACATGTTGTCCCATGACAGAGTCTCAGACAAGGCAGGGGGCCCAGGGCAGTTGTGGTGCCCCTGCTTTACAGCAGAGGCTCAGTGGTGAGAAGGAGGCGAGACCTGCTTCAGGAATGTGCCTCAGCCTGGCCTGTGTAAGAGGCTAAGGGGGGGGGGGGGGGGCATCCTGTGCTGCTCCCAGGGCATGAGCAGGCATGATACAAGCCATGTGAACTCCTCCCTGCTCTTCCATACCTACATCTCTGGGATTTGTGAAGAGATGAGCAGTGTCTTAATAGAACACTAGAGAAGAAACCTGCTCACTGAATAGCACATAGGCTGTCTGCCAGCATCTCTCAGTGCCCACGGCACTGTTAAAGAAATTGGCTGGCTCAAGGCACAAATTTACCCCGTAGCAAGTGGGGACTGTAGGGTTGATGATCATGGTGAGCACAACACTGGATACAATGAGATACCCTCCAGCATTCTGCTGACCTGAATCCTGGGGTAGCACCTGAGATGTCCTTGGAAAACATCAGAGCCACCAGCTCCTCCTGCCAGCCATCACTGTCCTCTTTCATACCAGCATACAGGCCAGGCCACCCTGAGCGCATCCTTCCCCAAACTTGGCTGCATTTCAGAGAGCTCCCCTTTCATTACTAAAAAGAAGTGGTTATATTAATATTTAATTACCTTCAGGAACTATACAGTGAAGACTGGTATTTTTTCCCCTTTAAAATGAACCTTCATTATGAAAATTTTCCCCTTTAAAATGAACCTTCATTAGGAAATTCTGCATTATCCCTATGTATTATTTTTACTAGAATATAAAAACACCTGGATTGAATTTTGTTCCCCCTCTTGCACTGTGCAAGAAGTGGGAGGGGGAACTGCAGTTTAAGGGGGAAACATCTCTCTTCTGTGTAGTTTGCAGTCTTATGGAGCTTGGCAGCTTCCCTGGTTACCCACAGCTGGGCTGCATGAGTTCCTGGTTCCTTGCCGTTACCTCAGCACACAGACCTCTTCTTGATCTGGTTTCCTAAGGGAAAAAGGGCTGCCTGCTTCCTGCCCCGAGCTTTCCAGCTGACTGCCCACTTTCTGGAAGCTTGAGGACACAGCCCCACAGCAAGCTTTGTGCAAACAGGCAGCTCTGAGCATCCCTTGGGAAGCCACAAACTCTCTGGGGGACACCAGAGAAGCCACCTGCAAGTCAGGACAAGAGGAATGAGTCTTCCCACCATACCGAGGGGCTTAAAGCTGGCAGGGGCAGACACTGGTCCCACTGCTGAGGCATCCCATGAATTCTTGCCCGTTCCCCCACGCTACCATGGCCCCAGAGGTGCAAGCCAGCCAGACGGACTCAAGCAAACACAGGGTTTGGTTCCAGTACAGCTCAAGTGGTTTTCTTTTAATCCCAGAGAAGTAAAATGCAACATTTGAGTTGGTAATAACATCCAGAGACAAAAGTCCAAGCCCCCTACTCAGTAAAGTCATTTGTGTTTAAGGCACTCTGCAAAACCAGCTTTCCTCTTCTTCCGATTTTCCCCACGCGGCAGCAGAATACCTGGTTTGGTCTTTTCTCCATAGTGACATCCACGCGTCCTTGGCTCTTCTCACCATCTCCAGGAATTGGCAACAGCAAATCCAGCAGGAGCCATCAGAGAAATGCCAGGAGGCTGGATCAGTGAATACAGATGGGCATGGGAAGGAGCACAGTGCCCAGGGAGGGGGCACAGGGCTTCAAGCTTCTGCAGGAAAGGGACAGGCACTGGGTGTCCTCCCTGCAAGCACCGATATGATTCCCTTCCTTTTTCCCCCCTGGCTCCAAAAGCAAATGGGAGTAGGGGGGCCCTCAATCGTCCCTCCCCAGCGGTGCTCCCAAACATGCAGCAGCACCCCAAAACGCAGGGGGCTGGGTGGGGGGAACCCAGCTGCCCCCACCGTGCAGCAGAAATGAACCCCCCAACTTTCAGCCGTCAATAAATAATAATAAATAACTTAAACCTCAAGTAAATAAATAAATAAATAAGTAGGTAGATAGCTAGATAAATAAATAAGTGACCCAAGGACAGGATAGAGGGGAAGGGGCACCCCAAGGCTCAGGGCAAGTGGAACGTGCAAGCGGGCATTTCCATGACATGCTCCTCCCTGAGATAACGGGGTGCTACTGCGAAAGGGGGGTGCAGGGAAGGCATCCCATGGTGCGGTTGGGCAACTGAACCCAGGGTTCTGGGTACTCGTCCCTGGCATGAGCTCTGCAGCCAGGGCTCCAGCTCCAGGTCCCCATCAGTACAGCTGCAGCCCACAGGGATGTGAGGAAAACCCCAACTCACACACTGGAGCTCTACCCTGTTGCCTCCCTCCCTCCCTCTCCTCCCCTTCACTCAAACATAGAGCCCTGTGCCTGGGTTCCACCGGTGGGTGCTGCTGAGCTCACCCAGCACCTCCAGCCAAAGTGAACACACACCTTTCGTGAACATGCGAACTGCATGTTTCTGCACACTACTTTTGTAAATACTTTTTTTTTCCTTTTAAACAGGGAAATGCCCATGTAGACAACCCACACATCAAACCGAGTGAAGTGCATCAAACAGAGTTAAGCGCATCAAATCCAGCCATCAGAGGAGCAGGCATGGCAGCCCAGCAGAAGCCCAGAGGGGTGAGCACAGGCATGGCCCCAGGGCTCATCCAGAGCCTGCCTGCAGGCTGTGGCAGTCCTGGGAGCTCAGGCACAAGGCTATGGCCAGGCACGGAGCCTGACACCAGCACCAGGCAGCACCAAGCGCCTCCCTGGGGACATTGTAGACATACATGGACAGAAATGGCAGACACTGCTATCCCAGTGTGGCCAGGCAGCACATCCTAATAAATTCAACAGCACCCCCCACCAGCATCCTCACTCTCCCAGCCAGCAGGCACCACGGTGCTGCCACAGCATCTCCCCAGTC